AGCCTGGGATTGAACCCAATCAAATATTTCTGGAGAAACCTGAAAATGTGCATCTGCCCCCATCCTCATGCTGACGAGCAAAGCTTGTTGCATCAAACAAAAAAAGACTTGAGGCTGTTAAGGTGCTTCAGCTAAATATTTAGTTAAGGGTATGAATACTTATGCAATGTACTTATTTCAGTTTTAAATTTAATACATTTACGAAGTTGTGGCAATTCTGTTTTTGCTTTGTCAGTATGGTGTATGGAGTGTAGATTGATGTGGAAAAAAAGTAATTTAAAGAAGTTTATCATAAGGCAGCAACATAAAATGTAAAAAAAAATGAAGGGGTATGAATACTTTCACAAGGCACTGTAGCTTTTTCTGTTATCAAATTTCTTTAATAATACACCTCATATATTAAAACAGCTGTGATAAGATCTTACGGGGATTAATTTTTTTCCCTTCACCAAAAACATAGAGTGAGACATTGTGACGAATCATTTGCCCTGCTGGAAGCCCCTCAGATGTTCACATTAACCTCACAGAGAATTAATTACAGCAAGCATATGTGTGACAGGGTGATGTGGTAGAGCCGTACATCTGTTAAAAACTCTAGGAAAACTAATCATGATAATTGGGCAGCTGTTATTTACATTCCTGTGACAGTCAGAATGTGTTTCCACAGAGAAGAAACACAGCAGCTGGGCTGATAAATAGGTGTGGTTTTCATGATGGGAGAGGACAGATTGTTCTTAATCTGAGAATCATAAACTAATGATATTGTGTTTTATCATTTTGGTAATTTGGTACTTTACATAAACAAGCATTAAATAATGTGTGATATTGGCTTCTGAAAACTATTTCTTTGAGTTCAGGAATATGATTGATGATCTTGGGGATCTTGTCACTAACTACGAGCATGTTCTGAATATGATGTATCACTGAACATGAAAAGCTTATTTTTGATTTTACAGTTCAGAAACACCCTAAGGAATCAGCTGGCCTAGATTTAGTTACTAAACCCACAGACCAATAAATCAAGAGTCCTAATAAAGACGTGTTACATTGCATCACAGACTACCATAGAAAGAAGGCTGTATTACAAAGTAATATAACAAAATACATATTAAAGGACTAAATAATATTCATAAACCCCTTAAAAGCAGACAACTTAATCGCTGCTTCTATAAACAGCACCTAAAGTATTAAAAGACTAACGACAGAAAGCAACTCCAAAGCAACTTATCTTTTACGCCACACTTCATGAGAAATTCATGGTCTGTGTTCAATGTAGTCGAGAAGATCTGAAGGGATTCTCTTTGCTTTTTTCTAAATATTTGTGTCAGGCTGAGAAATACTGAAATAAATGCCACTCTTGTGAGACCAGCAATACATAATAGTGGCCCAACGGAAGCCTCTCCTCAGTGCAAGACACATGAAAGCCATAAATATATAATATATAAATATGAATACATATATACGTGTAAATATTTCTTAAATATATTCAGGTACGTGTGTATTTATACTGTATATACATATAAAAATACCCAGCACCCACACATATATAAACTATTATGGATGAGATTAATCGCGATTGATTAATCTATCTATCTATCATTTTGGCTGACCATCGATATTAAAAATCTGACCGATAGCCTGTCATCTTGTGCATACTGTGGCTATGTCTGGATGCGTCCTCTATTCGTAACTAAGTGAAGATATGATAAGGTCCGGCCTCTTTTAAGCCTGCAGAAGGAAGCTCAGTATCAAAGCCAACTACTATAGTATATGAATGTTTTAGGTGAGTCTAAAGAATAAGAACCCCCTCTCTCCCTCTAATAGTTTGGCGCTGCTTGCTTAGCGGCTGTTCCATCACTTATTCATACAGCTCATGATTCTTTTAAATGACTCTGTGACTTTAAGACAGATGCTTCACAGAGCACTTTAATCATCCACTTTTTCCATCTAAAGGTGTGGGTGTAATGAA